TACGCGCGAGCCTGGGCGGTAGTCTTCGGGGCCCTTTCGCGGAAGACTCGCGGAAGCAAGGTCCCGAAAATCTACCGAAAACACTTCGCGGCAGGAGCCGCGGAAGGCGGAAGCAAAAAAGACTACAGCCAAGACTCGCGGAAGGTCCGCGGAAGGCCGCCGCGGAAGGGCATTGATATGGTAGTGAAATTATATAGGAATAAAAACCATGGCTCATGTTCCTTTTACCTACCATATAACCCAAAACGATAGCCCTACCTCACATCCCTACCGCACTAAACCCTGAGCCCCCCAAACCCTAGACCCTAAAGCCCTAAACCCTAAGCCCCAAACCCTAAACCCTACACCCTAAGCCCTATATAAACTCTGAGCCCTAAACCCTGAAACCCAAGGAGGGGCGACGCAGACTTAATAATATTACAGTACTGTCCATTTTCTTTTCCATTATCCCAATATAATCTCTATATAACCCTATATAACCCCTATATAACCCTACATAACCCCTATATATCCCGATATAACCCCTATATAATCCCTATATATTATAGTAGTTTCCAGTTTGCCAAGGAGGGGCGATGCAGACTTAAAGGAGGCCTTGGGACGCATCCCACCAGGCCGACTTCGATTCCTCAAGATGCAAGGTGCGGGATGTTTTTGGGGTTTAGGGGTTTGGGGATTTGCGGGTTTTGGGGATTAGGGCTTAGGGGTTTGGGGTTTAGGGGTTTAGGGTTTGGGGTTTGGGGCTCAGGGCTTATGGCTTAGGGTTTAGGCTGAGGGTTTAGGGCTTAGGGCTTAGGGTTTAGGCTTAGAGGCTGGGGTCTAGGGTATGGGGCTTAGGGCTTTCGGGGTGTACAGGGTCGATTGGGGTTTCTATTTTGAAGCAAGTTCGAGAAAGGAAAAAGACCTGGAAACTATGTAGGGGCTACCTTTGTTTGTGAGCGCTTAACAGGGCTATGAGGTTTCAAGGATTTTCACAGCTTCAGAATTTGCAGGGTTGCTGGGGGTTTACGGTTGTTGTGCGCTTATAAGCTTTTCAGGGTTGTAAGGGTCTAGAGGTCATCTAGTGTAGATAAGATTTATGGGGCTTACATGTTTAAGTTACTGTGTTCATAGGGCTTATGGGGTTCATTGGGTTTGGTGGAGCGTTTGCACCCTAAATCCTCAACCCTCAATCCTACACCCTAAATCCTAAACCCTAAAGCCTAGACCCTAAACCCTATTCCTGGTAAGGTTCCTTCACTGACAGCGGCCTGGCGTCGGTTCTGGAAAAGCATTCCGGGCTCCTGGAGCTTTCCTTGGATGCTTATTTGTTCAGGAACCTTCAATAACCGACTAGGATCTAGGGTTTAGGGTTCGAGGTTTAGGGTTGGGGTCTTTAAGTATGTAAGGATTAAAAGAAGTAAGGCACACGCCTCTAATTATTCCCTCAGAAACCACCAACTTTTCACATGTACATAGGAACCCCAGATAAAACAAACGGAAATCCTGAGAAAAGCCTCAGTTTGTGGACCCAGTCCTCGACTTCAAAAAGCATTATAAGAAACCCCTTATAACCCCGTAGCATGCCTAGCATCCCACAAAGTAGATACTGAGCACTTAAGGATGCGGAGCCGGCCGGGCAGCGGAGGCCCCAGAAACGGACACTCACTGGTGATTAGTAGGGGAGGAGATGCAAAAGGAATCATCACTTCAAAGGGATTAGATTGGGATCTACAGGGAGATTTATGGCTATAGCGGGGTATTTACGGGGATTGCATAAATTGGAATTGCGGTTTAGGGTCTAGGGTTACTTGCTGGTGGGTAGTCGCCAGGCGGTACTGAGTAGGGTCTTCGGATTATGGTTTAGTGGGAGATAGAGGTATGTATACCTAAAGTACAGAATTCAAACCCTGAACCCTAACCCCTAAGACTCGCAACAACAACAACAACAACCCCTGCATTCAAGCCGTAGGGCTTAGTAGCAATCAGAATCACGGGGATAGTCATGCAGTGGTGTCCATGTCATATTGAGTCCGCCTACATACTAACTTGTATTTGCATATATGTTCATATGTACATATGTATATACATGTATTTATGTATATGTACATATATGTGTACGTATATGTATATTTGTGCATATACATATATTCACATATGTATATTTGTATATATATATACATATACATGCATATGGATATATATATATATATGTATGTATATAGACTTATGTATACATGCATTTATGTACGGTATTTTTTTGTTTTTACTCTGTGCTTTCCACATTGGAGACAGCATACAAACACACCGGCAACATTCCAAAGGAACCCTATACAACGCCCACCAACAAGCAATAATTAATGATAACTAGACCCCAGGGTTTACGGTCCATAGGGTCTAGGGTTCATTGAGGAAATGCGAAGCACTAACGGGCGAAGCCTTGCTGCCGGCAAAGAAGCTTCGGCGATTGGAGCTGTCTGGCTTCTTGCCGGCTATTCGTAGGGAATGCAAGGGTAGGAAAGCGGAAACCCTAAGCCTAAACCCTAAAACCCTACGCCCTAAACCCTGAGCCCTGGGGTTTGGGTAGGGCCTACGGAATGGACAAGAAAATGGAAGCTACTATTCTGTTGGAGGTGGTGTTCCCCTTTTTAAGAACCCCCCACTACCAGCCAGTAAGGCTTGCCGTCTGCCATCGCAGCACTTGCAGGTGCCAAGCGAGCGGCAGCTTACCTGCACAGTGCGTAAGCTTGGTTTCAGGATTTGGGGTTTTGGTATAGTATTAGTTAAAGCCTTTATATTGCAGAAGCCTAACCAATGCTTCAAAATCCTGTACAACCTGCCCCCAATTCCCTATTCCGATTAATTACGCCTCCACATGAATGGTGAAACTCAATCCCTAGAAATCCAAATCGCCCAATGTAGGTAATATTTACCGACTTTGGGGCCCAATGTAGGAATTATTCCTAGGGAATAGAGACTCAAAGAACTTCGGAGATGCCGAAAATGCTGGACACCTAGAGGGATCTCTCTCCTGTCATCCTAGGAAACGTCATACTGCTAATGGGTGTAGGGTTTAGGATTTAGGATTTAGGGTTTAGGGTGCAAACCTAATAGTGATACTGATAGTAATCATACACTTCTCATCATAATCTTCATAATCGTCCAGACGATCCACTCCCCTCAAAAGTTTACTGCGCAATTAGACGCTGTGCAGGTTACTTTGCGGGACCCTGGGGCTCGGAATATGTCAGGTAAAACCCCATTGTAGTCTTTCAGAAGTAGTTTACCAAACCCATTAGTATACAAACGGCCCCACGATGTAGCAAGGAAGGAACCGCTGGATTACAGGGCTTAAGGTTTAGGGTAAGAAGGAACTCTATAGACTTCTTGCAGACATCCATTCCTACAATCCCAACAAGCCATGGCCCTAAACCACAAGCCCCAATCCTGAAACCCTAAATCCTAAGCCCTGAATGATGGTGTTGTTTCCATGTTCTTCTCCAGTCCTTAGATGGTAAGTATACATAGACGTCCTGCAGCCCCAAGAATGGAACCATGCACTAATAACCTTAGGGTTTAAGGTTTTAGTTTCCTAAACGTAGTACCTAATGGGACCATTTGAGGAGCTCACCTTTTCTTGGATCTTTTAGAGGGTCTGGGTAGGGCTCAAACCCAAGCCTTAAATCTTAAATCCTATGTCGCATATTAAACCTTACACTCTAGATCAAACAAGGGACTTGTTTTCATTTCTTCCCCATGGACTTAGTAAGTAGGTTAAACCTTCAACCCTGAACCCTTAACCCTCATAATCCCTCAAACCCATACAGTGACCCTAGTCATCCACATTCTTAACCTACTTATGAAGTTCCCCTGACTCTCCAACCCTAAACCCTAAACCTTAAACCCTAAACCCTACCTACTTATCAAGTAAGGCACAGAGGCCCATCTTCGAGCTGGAAGAGTTGGTGCTGCATAGCCCCAATGAGTCGGATCTTCAGGCTCCTTCTTGCATGGGGTTAGGGGGAGGGTTCCTTAACCCCTAAACCCCTAAACCCTAACCTTAGGGGCACTTTATGGGGATTATAAGGAAATACTTGGATATGTAGGGTCAAGGGCTAGGGGTTGAGGGTCTTCAATTCCTCAAAATTGCTCTCTAGGACCCATCGGGTTTAGGGTGTAGGGTCCCTAGACACTAAACCCTAAACCTTCGCAATCCCGGTGCATATTTTCAGTGGTTCCCCATGTTGAGACGCACCAAACGCAGAGGTTTAGGGTTTGGGATCACGATCTGCCTGCAGTCCGCAGCTTACTGATTGCTATCATCCAGCGTCAGCTACCCAGATCCTGGGGAGGATCTAGAACTCAAATCCCGGTCCTAAGCCCATATACATCCCTAGAATCCCCCTGGCACGTTCCCGTTTTATCCTATGCATCTCTATGAACTCAAAGTTTCCATTTTTTTGTCCATTTGCTTTCCTCCTGCTTGATTCTGGGATAGTATCCAGAAACCCTGAACCCTAAATGGCAGCTTCCATTTTCTTTTCCAGTCCCCTGTAGCCCCTAGATGAGCTACAGTCTAAGATCCTTAAAGGGGGCTATATAGGGAATTATATAGGGGACTACTATAGGGGTTAAGGGGGGATAGCAGGTAGGAGTGTAGACTACCTAAACCCCCTGAAATGTGTAAAAGAATAGCCCAAAAACCCATAATAGCAGCCCTAAAGGCCATTATTTTACATACTCTTGGGGTTAAGGTATAGCTTTAATAGTTTATAGCCTGAAACCCTGAACCCTAAACCCTAAACCCCCATACTCTTCGGGTTAAGGTATAGCTCAGATAGATTATAGCCTGGGCTTTAGGAGGACCCCCCACCCTGTAATAGTGGTATAAGAAGAATATAAGAGGACCCCAGTATAGTCCTTACCATCCCTTATAGTCACTGTTACTGGGTGCGGGGTCCACGAAAACCTTAGCTAGCTAACTTTCGTACGCTCTGCGGCCAGGCTGTGCCAACCTTCACCGGGTTGAAGATGCTCGAGGCCAATCCCTCGAAATCTCATAGGGTTTGGGGTTTAGGGTTTTAGGGTGTAGGGTTTGGGATTTAGGGCTTAGGGCCTAGCATTTAGAGTTTAAGGTTTAGGGTTTGGGGCTTAGGGTTTGGTTTAGGGCAAAACCCCATAGGGGTTTGGGGCTTAGGGTTTGGTTTAGGGCAAAATTTCATGGGGTTTGGGGCTTAGGGTTTGGTTTAGGGTTAGGATTTGGGGTTTAGGGCCCAGGATTTTTGGTTCAGAGTTTAAGGTTTAGGGTTTAGGCACGGTTGAAGGTGTATCTGGGGGTTTTAGGTTTGACCCTCATTGAGGGACTTCTGCGGGTTTTGGAGGGTAATGTGGGGACTACCTGGCTAGATAGTGAGCTTATTCGGGCCATATACAAGGGTCATATGGTTTGCGCCCTCAAGGCGCCAGCATTTTAAGTACTGTCCCGCTGAGAGTGGTGCGACATGGCCGTTCCGAAGACTAGCCGATCTACGTGCGTTTCCACCAAACTCTTCTTGGAGAGTCAGGGATACCTAATTAGTAAGTATACTCATCACCTTTACAACACATATTATTACTTCCGGGTATCACCATTATTCATTCACATACGTACTTCTTCGAGAAAGCCCTGGAACCTGACCTTACATTCAATTCTCTCGCTTCTGTAACGTATTCTGAGATTGCCCCACCCTAAATTCTGAACCCCAAGCCCTAACCCTCACCCTGAGATCGCCCCGGCCCCCATCGGCTTCGACGAACTTGGTCATTTGCGGCCAGCAGCTGACCGCGAGGCGGTTTGAGCTGCGATGTTTAGGCTGAAAGATTTGGTAACTCCCCAAAATAAGGGAACCCCAATATAGACCCCAACATATTATAGTCCTTATAATGGGAACTCCCAAAATGGTACCCCTAATTTTGGGAACCCCCATTCAAGGTTAGGGATTAGGGTTGAGGATTTAGGGCTCAGTGTTTAGGATGTTGGGTTTAGGATTCTGGGTCTAGGATTTGAGATTTATGGTTTTAGGGTTCAGGGTTTCGTTTTAGAGTCTTGGAGTGGTTTTGAGTGGTTTAGGAGCCTGTTTCGGAGCTCAAGGCTTCAGGACTTTTGTTTTATAGGGCCTGCTTTGGGGCATCAGGCTGTTTTAGGATTTTGGTTTAGGACTTGTTCAGTGTTTTAGGGCGGTTTAGGAATCTGTTCTGGGCTTTAAAGAGGGCTGGGTGTTTGGGATAAGGGTCTGTGAACAAAGCACCGCAGAAGCCGTGGAATCTCATGCGCTGTCTAAGTCACATTGCAGTATGTCTAACGGTGCCACCATTCATACCCGAGTAGCAGCGCTCATCGCAACACGGGTAAGACTGGTATCAAGCGCTTCTGCAAGCAATAGGTTGTTGTAGCAAAGCTGTACCATGCAGCCTGAACCAAACATCCAAAATATACACTCTCAATCCAAACCTGATCCCCTAATCCAGAATTGTTTCTAGAATGATTTGACGGGCGCAGGTGTATTTTCGGGAACTTGCACGAGGCCTTCCAAACAATCCCTCTCTCACTTGCTGGAGCCCAAATTCCCACCTGGAGTTTTCTTTCTTCAGCCGTGAAGCCTGTCTTAAACCCTTGAAGCC